CACAGCGCCACTTCCGGCTTTTTTCTTTTTGCTTATGTGGTGCTGAGGAATTGAACCCAGGGCCTCAGGCATGCAAGGCAAGTGCTCTACCACTGAGTCACCTTCCCAGCCCTAAGATACCACTTTTTTTTTTTTTTGCCAGTCCTGGGGCTTGAACTCAGGGCTTGGGTACTGTCCCTGAACTGCTTTTGCTCAAGGCTAGCACTACTTGAGCAATAGTGCCACTTCCTGCTTTTTCTGTTTGTGTGGTACTAAGGAGTCGAACCCAGGGCTTCGTGCATACCAGGCAAGCACTGTACTGCTGACCTACATTCCCAGCCCAGAGATACCACTTTTTATAGCCAGGTTTTGTGTTTATGTATCGAAATTTATTTTTGCTGTTTCTCAAACAATGTGTAATTAGGCTATCAAGATAATCTTTCCAAAGGATAAATGTAAGTATACTCAACAGCAAGTAACTGCTAAGTCTTTGTTTTTGGTTTTTCATGGTACTGGGAATTGAACCCAAACACTGTGACTTCAGCTATTCCCTAAGTACTTTTTTTTTCCAGTTTGTTTTTGAGACAGAGTCTTGCTTCCTTTTTACCCAGTTGGCCTTGAATTTCAGTCAGTCCTCCTAAGTGGTTGCGGTTACAGGTATATGTTACTGTACTTGGCTTAGTCTTAAGTGTTTGATTCTAGAAAATTGAGCTGCCAAGAATAATTCAGTTATTTTTTTAAATCTGTCTCTGTCATCTCCAAGTTAAAATTTTGCCTTCTAACATTTTCCCCCTAATTCCTTGAACAATATGAATGAAGCATTTTGTCATATTGATTGTATGAGTAAGTTGCCTTCCTAAGAAAGAAATGTCATTTGGTATTGCTAAGAGGATTTGAGGGAACCTGCTCAGGAGCTTGACAGACTTTCTGCTTTCTCTTTTCCGTACCTCCTGATTCCCCACAAAGAATCAGGGGGAAAGTGAATGAATGGATGGATGGAAGAGAAACAGGGAGGGGAGTAGAATGGGCTAGCTCACTAAAACCCCAAACACCTAGTGCTCACAACTGCACTCCACCACCCCACTTGCTCCTCTCTTCCCCTTCTAGAGTTTTTTCCTGGTTAATTGGAGACTAGAATCTCTCAAACATTCCCAGGCTTCTTTGAACCATGATTCTTATATCTCAGTGTCCTGAGTAGCTGAGATTATAAGTGTGAGCTAGGTTACAGTTGTGAGCCACTGATCCATGGCAAAGGTCTTTTTTTTTGGTACTGGTTCTGGACTTGATAGACACTATACTTGAGCTTTTATGCTCAAGGCTAGAGCTCTGCCAATTGAGCTACAACTTCATTTGCAGCTTTTTAGTGATTAGTTAGAGATAAGAGTCTCAAGGACTTTCCTTCCTCAGCTGGCTTCAAACTGCAATCCTCAGATCTCAGCCTCCTCAGTAGGTCGGATTACAGGCATAAGCTACTGTTGCCCAGAAAAGGTCTTTATTTATTTTGTTGGTCATGGGGCTTGAACTCTAGGCTTGAGTGCTGTCCCTCAGCTCTTCAGCTCAAGGCTAATGCTCTACCAGTTGAGCCACAGCACCACTTCCAGCTTTTTCTGCTTATGTGGTACTGAGGAATCAAACCCAGGGCCTCATGCATGCAAGGCAAGCACTCTACCACTGAGCCACCTTCCCATCCCCAAGGTCTTTATTTTTGAGCCTCTTCTTCAGTAGCTATTTGTTCACAGGTATCCAAAGTAATGAGACTTGTAGACAACTAGATAGGGGCCCTGCTTATTTGAAACCACTCTTTTCACCTGTAGAGATTGCTTAGGCCACCATTCTTTGTCCTATGTCTGACTGCTCTCTGTCCATCTGGATGAGGATGAAAGGTTAGAATCTAGCCGGGCGCTGGTGGCTCACGCCTGTAATCCTAGCTACTCAGGAGGCTGAGATCTGAGGATCGCGGTTCAAAGCCAGCCGGGGCAGGAGAGACTGTGAGACTCCTATCTCCAATAAACCACCAGAAAACCGGAAGTGGCGCTGTAGCTCAAGTGGTAGAGCGCTTGCCTTGAGCTGAAGAGCTGAGGAACAGCGCCCAGGCCCAGAGTTCAAGCCCCACGACCGACAAAAAAAAAAAAGGTTAGAATCTTTCTCTACACATCAAGGCAGGCAGTTACAGACCTTTTGTATTCCTTATATCTAACTGTAAGGGACTAAAATATGTCTGCGGTTTGTATTTGGTGCTAGTCCTGGGGCCTGAACTCAGAGCTTGGGCACCTTCCCTGGACATTTTTGCTCAAGGCTAGTGCTCTACCATTTGAGCCACAGTTTCACTTTTGGCCTTATTTTTTAATTTTTATTTTTGGCACTTGTGGGGCTTAAATTCAGGCCCTGGGCACTGTCTCTGAGCTTTTCACCGAAGGTTAGTGTTCTACAACTTTGAGCCACGGTCCACTTTTGGTTTTCTAGTGATTAATTGGAGATGAGTCTCTCAGGCTTTCCTGCGTGGGCTGGCATTGACCCCTGAGCCTCATATCGCAGCCTCCTGAATATCTAGGATTATAGATATGAGCCATGAGTGCCCGACTCCCTTCTTTCTTTCTTTGTTTTTTTTTGGGGGTGATTAATTGCAGATAAGAGTCTTTGAAACTTTCTTGCCCAGGTTGGCTTTGAACCTCAATCCTTAGATCTCAGCCTTCTGAGTAGCTAGCATTACAGGTGTGAGCCACTGGCCCCCAATTTGTCTATATATATTTTTAGGTTGTGACTGATGGTTATGAAAACTTGTAGCTTTGTGATATTCATATAGTTACACATTACTATATTGAGCAGCCATAGTTACTGACAGAAATGTTAGGTAAGTAGATACTGTAATTAATACCAGAAGTCATTTATTGAGTTCTAGATGTTATAGTAGTTCATGAGATAGTGTAGCAGAGGTGTAAGTCAAATATTTTTGAATGTAAATGAAATGATAAATCTAAAAAAAGATTACCACCACATTTGTGCTGTCTGCTGGTGAATTCAGCTTGTTTGTAGTTTTGGTTTTTCCGCAGATGAAAAACTTAAATTCTTACGTAGTTTCTTTATTTGCAAAATGGTTCTGATTGAGAGTGGATATAAGGGTTTATGGACATAAGTAAAAAGGCCAAGCACAGTGACTAATATAGCAGGGCCTACTCAAATATTCTTTTTTCCTTTTCCTCCTAGTCCTATTCTGACCATCCACAATAAATTTGCAAATCTTAGAAAGCAATATTAGCACTGAATTTGTATTGTCTGATTTTATTTTATTTTGTTTTTTTGGTATACTGGGGATAGAACTCAAGTCCCCTGCTTTCAAGGTAGGCAGGCACTCACCAATTTAAGCTATGCCTGCAACTCCCTCACCCTTTTGGTTTTTGTGCTAGTCTTGGGGCTTGAACTCAGGGCTTAGGTACTGTCCCTGAGCTATTTTGCTCAAGTCTAGCACTCTGCCAACGTGAATCACAGCTCCACTTCTGGCTTTTTGGTGGTTACTTGTTTCATAGACTTTTTTTTTTTTTTTTTTTAGTTTCATAGACTTTCTAGCCCTGGCTGGCTTTGAACCAAGATCCTTAGATTTCAGCCTATTGAGTAGCTAAGGTTTATAGGCATGAGCCATTGCCCCTGGGGCAGCAACCCTTTATCTCTGTGTGTATATGTGTGTGTGTGTGTGTGTGTGTGTGTGTGTGTGTGTGTGTGCATGTGTGCATGCGTGTGCGCTCGTGTGCACCAGGCCCACGAGTGTGTGCTTGTCTGTCTGTCTGTCTGTTTTTGTGCTTATTCTGGGGCTTGAACTCATTCGGGAACTGGGCACTGTTCCTGAGCTTTTTTGTTAGTACTCTGCCACTTAAGTCACAACTGTACTTGCAGCTTTTTAGTAGTTAATTGGAGATAAGAGTCTCATGGACTTTCCTGCCAGGTTGGCTTTGAACCTCAGATTCTTTGATTCTCAGATCTCAACCTCCTGAGTAGCTAGGGTTATAGCTATGAGCTGCTGATACCTGGCTCTTATTTTGGTTATTTTTGAGGTAGGATCTCACTTTATGCCTGGGCTAGGTTGGGCTATGATCTTCCTATTTGTGCTTTCCTGCTTGTCCTTTTCTGAGGATAACAAGCACATGTTTCAGCGCCTAGCCACTTCTTGACATGGAGTCTCTTGAACTTTCATGCCAAGGCTGGCCTTGATATCTGTCTGCCTAGATCTCACCTTCCTGAGTAGCTAGAATTACAAACTTGAACCACTGTACTTATCCAAAAACTCTTTTTTTTTTCATCCAAAAACTCTTTTATCTTTTTCTGGCACTGGGGCTTGAACTTCGGGCTTAGGTGCTATCTCTGAGCTTTTTTTTCCCTCAAGCTAGCACTCTACTATTTGAGCCCCAGCTCCACTTCTGGTGGTTAATTGAAGATAAGATTCTCATGAACTTTCCTGCCTAGGCTGACTCTTTTTTTTTTTTTTTTTTGTCGGTCGTGGGGCTTGAACTCTGGGCCTGGGCGCTGTCCCTCAGCTCTTCAGCTCAAGGCGAGCGCTCTACCACTTGAGCTACAGCGCCACTTCCGATTTTCTGGTGGTTTATTGGAGATAGGAGTCTCAGGGTCTCTCCTGCCCGGGCTGGCTTTGAACCACGATCCTCAGATCTCAGCCTCCTGAGTAGCTAGGATTACAGGCGTGAGCCACCAGCGCCCAGCTTAGGCTGACTCTTCAAACCACTAATCCTCAGATCACAGCCTCCTAAGTAGCTAGGATACCAGGTGTGAGTTGTCAGCTCCTGGCCCCAAAACTTTTTATTATGACAGTTTAAAGTGTTTATGAAGGGGGAAATGGTATACTGTATTCTATATACATCGCTCACTTTTAATGATGATCAGAACTAAGGTGTGGCTCAGTGGCATACATGAGGCTCTTCCATCTCTAGCACCCGAGAAAATAAGTCAAGTCTAATAACTACTACCCTCTCTTTCATATAACTGGTGTATTTTAAATTGAATTCCAGATGCCATATAATTTCATTTGTAAAACCATAGATTTTTATTGGGTAGGATATGTATTAGAAGCTAAAAAGCAAACTTTTATAAGGCAAATAAAGTGACAACATTCTTTTTAGTATGTCTATGGTAGCTTATTTGTAAATGTGACTTTAATTCATGAACTTAGTATTTATTTTCATATCATGGTGTATGTTAGTACCTGTTTGCTTAGAGTGTAAGCTGTTCTAAGGTTGGCCTAGTGTTTATGCAGTTATTAGAAAGCCCAGAAAAATACTACTCTCAAGGAGGCATTAAATAATTTAATATATTAACGATAATGGCTGTTTTCAAGAACCTAATGGCTGTTTTCAAGAACCTATTTTTAGAGAAGCTGTGCATTACCAGGACATGTTTCTTATTTTTCCCATATTTCTGTGTCTAGCTGTGGAGTAGAGTGAGAGTTGTACACCCCAGTGTTGACAAGTAATGGGAAAGTCTTCCTTTGGCTAGGTAAGCTGAGATCCAGATCTGTAGTTTGCTTTAAGATAGTGAAAGATCACCACTGCATTAGCTGTATGGTTTGAAGGGCAGATAACAATTTACTTGAGTCATCCAGTTGTTATATGCACTTTCTTTTTCAGGGGTTTTAGACTCCTAAATGAAGGCAAATTGAGAGTGGCCGTTATTTTTAGGTTAATAGTGTAAAGCCAGAAAAAATGAAAAGATGACATTGAGTTCTTAGATCTGATTTTGTTAGATCGGTGTTAATTTTAAACTTCGGTGATCTTGATATATGGATATTAACACATTTAACATGCTAGTTTTATTCTCCTAGAAATGTTTACTTTGAAAAAATCCTTGGCAAAACTTTTTTTTGGTGGGGTGAGAATTCTGGGCTTGGCATTTGCTTGGCTGGTGCTTTACCATTTGAGCCATACCACCAGCCCAACTTTTGGTCTCAAGCTCTTGCTAGACTTTGGCTAGTCCTCTACCACTTGAGTTGTGCCTTTAGTTCATTTTTTTAAAAATTGGCATCTTTTTGAAAGTAAGTGAATTATCAATTCTGAATTCTATTTCCACTATTACCAATAGCATTTTTGTCAATGTCCATGTTATATTTTTATTATTCTAAGTTTCTTTTGAAATAACAAAGTGAATGTTACTAAATTAAATTATTAATAAGTAGTGAGACAGTAAGATTTGCTTATCATTTACAAAATATATGTATTATACATACCTAAGTATAATACATATATATGTAAATTAAAAGTCAGATTGAGTATTTGGAAACTTCAAGACCTCTTTTAGTTCTGTGTAGTAATATAGTTTATATTACAGTATTTTATTAAGTTTTATTGCTGACATTTCCCCTTTTTCTCCCAGTGAGTTTTTAGCAGAAGACAGTCAAGAGAAATTTTGGAATTTTGTAGAAGCCAGTCAAAATATTGGATCATCAGATCATCACGGTAAAAATGAAGCAAATGCTTCTTTGACTTTGCTGTCTGGAAAAACATTAGAAAAGTAGTCTCTTGTTTTTTATAGTACATGTGATATGGCAGTTAATGGAAAACATTTTTAATCTTTAATGACTTGAGTTGTTATGGCAGCCAGGAAGAAGCAGTATCCCAAATAATCATTTTATTATTCTATTCTAATTTATTTTTTTACCTTATTTTGGGGTTAGGGATTGATTTGGGGCCTTGTAGATAGATGGTAAGTATATGCTCTATCACTGAGCTACTCTTCCAGCTCCCAAAAACTTAAACTGATAAATTTAATTCCTCCCTTCCCTTCCCTCCCTTCCTCCCTCCCTTTCTCTCTCTCTCTCTCTCTCTCTTTCTTTCTTTCTTTCCTTTTTCTTGAGAAATGAGCTCTTGCTAAGTTGCCCTGTATTGGGCTTAAGCAGTCCTTTTGCCTCACCCTCTTGAGTAGCTAAAACTACAGGCAGTGGCCATGCTGCCCAACCTAAATAATTATTTTTGATGCAGTTTATAAGTTTGGCTATAAATAGTAACCATTGTCTGTGCCCTATTTTTTTTTTTTTTGGTGCCAGTCCTGAGTCTTAAACTTAGGGTCTGGGTGCTGACCCTGAGGTTTTTTTTGCACAGAGCTAGTGGTCTACCACTTGAGCCACAACCTCACATCTGGCTTTTTGCTGATTAATTTGAGAGTCTCATGGACTTTTCTACCTGATCTGGCTTTGAACCAGGATCCTCAGATCTTATCCTCCTGAATAGCTAGGATTATAAACTTGAGTCCCTGGTGCCAAGCTGTGGATATACATTTTATTTTAAACGGTTTAGTATTTTTATGTCCATCTGATTTGGTTTATTCTTTTGTTGTGAACTAATTATATAACTGATTTATTATGTTAAGCATGTTATCATGAAGTTAATGCCATCCAAAATGTTTTCCATTATGCCAGCCAGCTACTTACTAGTTCAGTGTCATGGTATCAAGCTAATGATTACGTATGAATGGGTCACTCCTTTATAGTTTATGATGTGCTTTCATAAACATTTTGTTTTTTATTTTTTTGGGTCCGGTCATGGGGCCTGAACTCTGGGCTTGGGCGCTGTCCCTCAGCTCTTCAGCTCAAGGCGAGCGCTCTACCACTTGAGCCACAGTGCCACTTCCAGCTTTTTTCTTTATGCTTATGTGGTGCTGAGGAATCGAACCCAGGGCCTCAGGCATGCAAGGCAAGCACTCTACCACTGAGCCACCTTCCCAGCCCCTCATAAACATTTTGTAACTTGCCATAAGCTATAGACATTAAGTCCAAAGATGCTGATTTATGAGCACAGTCACATGCTACATAATAATGTTTTGGCCAGTGATGGACCAAATATGGAACAGTGGTCTCATAGATTAGATCATATTGCCTAGTGACTTCATACCTGTCACAGTTTGTGTAAGTATACTGTATGACTTTTATACAATGATTGTATCCTGATTTTAAGGACACATTATTGTAGGTAAAGCCTTTAGTATCACAGGAATAATTCTTATTGAAAAGAGAATGTTTGGAACCTGTATTACTGATATTAATGGAATTGGCTTCTTTTAAATTTTTACTAACTGCATATTTTAAAAGCATCAGGATCTCTTGTAATAGAAATACATAAATGTTTTGAACAAGGACCTATAATTTTTAGTTATACTTTAGAGTTAACTGGAATTAAGTATCAAGAAATTATTTTGCAGGGCTGGGCTGGGAAGATGGCTCCATGGTAGAGAGCTGCCTTGCGTGCATGAGGCCCTGCATTCCATTCCTCAGCACCACATAAATAGAAAAGGCTGGAAGTGGCGCTGTGGCTCAAGTGGTAGAGTACTAGCTGAGGGACAGTGCCCAAGTGTAGAGTTCAGGCCCCACGACCACCACCAACAACAAAAAAGAAATTATTTTGCTTTTAAGATTTCCTGGAATAAATTTATAAAAGTGGATTCAGGGGCTGGGAAGGTGGCTCAGTGGTGGAGTGCTTGCCTTGTATGAATGAGGCCCTGGGTTCAATTCCACAGCTCCACATAAACAGAAAAAGCTGGAAGTGGTGCTGTGGCTCAAATGGTAGAGCGCTAGCCTTGAGCTGAAGAGTTGAGGGACATCACCCAGGCCCAGAGTCCAGGCCCCAAGACCGGTGGCAGGGAGGGTAGGGGGTGAGGGGGGTAGGAGGAGTGAATGAAATTTATTCAGTATAAATGATACATATTAGTAGATAAAGTATAAGTTTATGTAGGAGTATAAGTTCTCAGAATTGATCACAAAAGTATGCTAAATATTAATTTGAAATACTATTCATACTCTTACCAACCAAATATAGATGCCGTTAACATTCTGGCAATATTTTGCGATATTTCTTTCTAGTCTCCTTTCCTATGTAGCATAGAACCTTGTATATTCTACTTTTAGAAAATTAATAATTTTCTTTTAAAAGTTGAAGATATAAATTTTAAGAGGCTATTAAATGATATTGAGGTCAAAGATAAACAAAAACCTTCTAGCCTTTTGAAAAATCTTGTTTCTTGTCCCTCTACTTTCTGGTTCTTCCCTGCTTTTTATATCTATTTAAAATTAATTCACTTAGGTTTTTTTTTATTTGTATGAAATATTTATTTATTTATTTTTTTAATTGTGAAAATACTGTATAGAGGGATTACAATTACATGGGCAAGATAATGAGTACATTTCTTATCAAGCATTGTAGCTTCCTCCTTTGTTTCCCCTTCCCATCCCTTTCCATCCTCCCCCCGCCCCCCCATAGGTTTTTTTTTTAACATACACATTCTATCATTTTTCCTTTTGGCACAAAAGATAGTTTACTATGTCTATTGTTTTATTGGTTTGCTTTTCATTTGTCTGAGTGGTTTTCATATTAGTAAATTGTTTCTCTTTCATATAATTTCACAACATTTTATTTAAATGCGTCTCAAACTTGATTTTATTGGTGTCCTTTAATATCTGGTACTTCCCTATCATTCTGCTTAGTTTCTTAGTTACTTGAGTAAATAGTATATGCTTAGTTCTGAGAATATAATGATTAAGGCATAGCCTTTGCTTGTGGAAGCCCAAAGTCTAGCTGAGCTGTAGATAGTGAATAAGTAATGTAGTAAATCATATGATAAGTGAAAGAGGTAAGCAAAGAAATAATTCTGGGAGCCAAGAAGAGATGTAACAAGTTCATTGAAACATGAGTTTGGGATCAGAGTGACTTTGCAGTGTTCTGTGATTTCATAGCTGAACTCTTCCTTTGGAAGTAATTAGAAGTAAGCTATCCAGGTAAGTGGAAAATAGTACAACTCTAGGTAAGAAATAGTTTAAACAAGAGGAATAGCTGATCTGCAATGTGTACATACCCTAGGGAATTACAATCATTTGACAAAAGTTCACATAAATTTGTAACATATAGCCTTGTACTTTATGAACTATCTTATTTTGTATCTCTAATCATATACAATTATTTGGGCTAATACTGTTTTTTTTTGGGGGGGGGACAGGTACTGATTATTCCTATTATCATGCCATATTGGAAGCCGCATTTCAGTTTCTGTCACCTCTACAGCAGAAGTTGTTGAAATTTTGTCTGTCTCTTCGTTCCTACTCTGCTACAATTCAAGCCTTCCAGCAGGTAAATCCAGTGCTTCTAGTGGCTATGACAATTGGATACATTCTTTTCTTTCTTATGTAAAATAAGAAAAAAACAATACAGACCTTGTTTCTGTAACAGTCTGGGATGTTTAATCTTGCAAAATAGTGAACCTGAATTTGATCACTCCTTTTAAAATCTAAAATCTTAGGCTGGCAAGGTGGCTCAGTGGTAGAGCGCTTGCCTTGCATGCTTGAGGCCATGGGTTCGATTCCTCAGCACCACATAAGCAAAAAGAAAAAGGCCTGAAGTGGCGCTGTGGCTCAAGTGGTAGAGCGCTAGCCTTGAGCTGAAGAGCTGAGGGACAGTGCCCAGAGTTCAAGCCCCATGACCGGACCCCAAAAAAAAAAAAAATCTAAAATCTTAAACCAGTTCATGGGAAATGTCAAACTACAGGAAATCCGGTTAGGAAGATCTAGCATTAGGGAAACATTGTTATAAATAAATAAAAGCGCAACCATCTAATTTAGATTGGGTTTTGTTTGTTTGCTTGTTTTTGGGAACTAGTTCTTTCTGTACCCCAGCCCAGCTTGGAACTCACTATGTAGCTCAGGTTAGCTTTGAACTTGAGATCTTCCTGACTCAGCCTTCCAAGTAGTTAGAATTACATACATGCTCTAAAATGTCTGACTTTATTGATGTCAGTATCTTTGAATGTTGTCTAAATGAGCAGTGTTTGGCTACTGCTTCTGTTTGAAATGATGCTGTCTCTGAGCTTTAGGGGTGTGCGTGTGTGTGTGTGTGTGTGTGCGCGCTGTCTCTGAGCTTTAGGGGTGTGTGTGTGTGTGTGTGTGGCTTTGAACCTCAGTCTTCAGATCTCAGCCACTTGAGTAGTAGCTAGGATTACAGGTACGAGTCACCTATGCCCAGCTTAGAGCTGGGTTAATGATGCTACTCTAGAATGTTTTTCCAGGAAATGATTTAGATGCTAATAAAAAATGATGTTAGTTTAAAATCATTGTATATAACAGTGTTTACACTGTTTGTTGTTTCATACTTTTCCTGTTTCATGCTCACTGTGTCAGAGTGCTTTTTGAGTGTGTATATATTCATACACATGTTAACTTTCTTCTTGTTCCTTGATGTTAATATATTTATCTTCACATATAAACTGATCTATTGCTGAGAATTTCTCTTGAGTATTTTTCTTTTTTTTTTTGGTAGGTTACAGGGCTTGAACTCTGGATCTGGGCTCTGTTCCTCAGCTTTTCAGCTCAAGGCGATTCTCTGCCACTTGAGCCACACTGGTTTTCTGGTGGTTTATTGGAGATAAGAGTCTCAGACTTTCGGACTTTCGTGCCTGGGCTGGCTTTAAACCATGATCCTCAGATCTCAACCTTCTGAGTAGCTAGGATTATAGGCGTGAGCCACCAGCGCCCAGCTCTCTTGAGTATTTTACTGTGTACCATATATAATTACTTTTCATTATTTATTTTTTTCTCTATTTGGCTCAGTTATTTTTAAACTTTTATGTAAAAATTATTATTTTGTTTTTTATTTTTCTGAGACCACCAGGTCTGATTATCTAGCCCAGGCTGGCCTTGAACCTATAATCTCAGCATCTCTTGTATGCTGGGATTATAGGCAAGTGGGGTTTATGTTTTAGATTGTATGTAATTCTTCCTCTTTGAATGAGGGACCTCATTTCAATCTCATATTTCTTTTTAAGAGGATAGCATATGTATACTTTGGTACTAAAATTGGTAGATCCTATATTAGAAAATATACCTTGTATTTTTTATATGCCTTTTGATAGTCTTCTGAGGTGACATATTAATGTTCTGTTGGGTGATAACATTAGTACCTTCCTCTTAGTGAGGCAGGAGGAACTGGGAACTATCATCAAGGAGAGCACTGTCTGCAAAGGTCTGACTTTGCTTGACTCATGGTGGGTGTTGGGCAGATGTTAGTTTTTGCCTTTGTAGGTAGTGTCCTAATTGCAGTGTCTAATCACATGTCTAGAAGGGATGTTCTATACCATCTTCAGCTACAAATAATAAAAATAAATAATAAAAATACATGCTGTGTCTTATGTGTCAGATAGCTGCTGATGAACCTCCACCAGAAGGATGCAATTCATTTTTTTCAGTTCATGGAAAGAAGACTTGTGATTTTGATAATCTAGAAACTCTTCTTCTAACAGCATCTGAAAGGTAAGTTGTATATATGTTTCTTCATTAAATGTCATTTATTTCGTTACTTGTGCTGTTTTTTGGCAACGTAAAAGCTTTTGCTAGAAGATCGTCAGATCCTTGTGTTTTTTTCATGCTAAGCTTACTTTCTAGTTTTTCTTAAGTATGTTGTAAGTCTGTAAGTATAAGTTTAGATTATTGATTCTGAACCCAAGAGAACTAGATATGAATCTTGGCCCATCACTTAAAATAGTTTTTTAAAGTCATTCCTTCTTTTTATTTCAAGATGGAAATAGTAAGAGTATTAATATTCCTGTGAATAACTATATCTGAGAGATTAAATAAACTGTTATTAGTTTAGTAGGACAGCTGTGTGTATGATAGCTAGTGCCTAAGTACTCATTTAATGATAACTTACTAGTTACAGATAAATGAAAATATTAAAAGATTGTTATAATTATCTTTCCATTATTATTTCATCATCATCACCATTGGTAGTATTATTGAATTGTTAATGAATTCATGCATGCATTTTTTGCTTGAAGAGGTTTAGATTTAGGTTTAGGTTTTCTGAATTGGATAGCTAGCTATCATATCTATTTTGCTATCTGGCTACAGTAGCAACTTCTTTATACCTCCTCTTATGCTGCTTTAAGTACTAGTGGCTATTTTGGTGTTATAAATTGTTTCCTTTTTTGGGGTAGTACTAGGTTTTGAACTCAGGGCCTCATACTTGCTGGGCAGGTATTTTACTGCTGAGCCATGCTTCCACCCCTTTTCTTTTACCTACTGTTATTATTATTGACTTTGTTTCTCTGTTTTTCTTTCTCAGTTTCTTTGTCTCTGTCTCACTCTGTCTTGCTCTGAACTCTTGCTTGGCTTTCTTGCTCATAGCTGGAGCTCTACCACTTGAATTATGGCTCTAGTCCAGCATTTTGTTGGTTAGTTGGAGATAGAGTCTTGCAGACTTCTTTGCCCAGTGTGACTTTGAACTATGACCCTCCAAATCTCAGCCTCCTGAGTAGCTAGAATTATAAATTTGAGCCATCAGAACTTGTATTTATTTTCCTGCTTATTTTTGAAAGAAGGTCTTCATTTTGTACCTGGGTGTGTGCCTGAACTGTTGTCTTGTTTTTCACTTCCCATTGAAGCTAGTGTGACAGATGCATACCACCATTCTCAGCTTCTTCCAATAAAATGTTACCTCATGCATTGGGCTTTTTCTGCCTTGGCTGATAAAGAACTGTGATCCTCCTTTTCTCAGCCTCCCTCCTACTTAGCTAGGATGATAGGCTACAGTGCTCAGCTTTTGGTTGAGAAGGACTCTTGTGAATTTCTCTGCCTAGGTTGGCTTCAAACCATGGTATTTCTTACTCATCTCCAGAATGGCTGGGTAACAGGCATGAGCCACAAACACCCAGCTCTGAGTCTTCCTTAGGAATGTTGTTTAGGGGCTGGGAAGGTGGCTCAGTGGTAGAGCGCTTGCCTTGCATGCCTGAGGCCCTGGGTTCGATTCCTCAGCACCACATACGCAAAAAGAAAAAAGCCAGAAGTGGCATTGTAGCTCAAGTGGTAGAGCACTAGCCTTGAGCTGAAGAGCTGAGGGACAGCGCCCAGGCCCAGAGTTCAGGCCCCACGACTGGACCCAAAAAAAAAAAAAAAGGAATGTTGTTTAACACTTATTCTTTATCCACCAAATGTTATTTGTTTTTATTATTGAGGGTAGCCACCAATAAACACTATGCGCACTCAGGAATTAGGTTATGAACATTTGAAAATGGCTGTTTATAAAGGGGAAACACAATTGGTGGCTTGCTAATTCTTTAAAAACTTTGGTTTAATTTGTTGAAAATATAATGTAGACCTTTATAAAGAAATGAATGATGACAACCTCCTTTTAGGAGAGGTGGTAACTACTTTTAGTAGTTTGCCATTTATTCTGTTACATTTTTTATGGATTTAAATTTGTACAAGTAGGTAGGGTTTTTTTTTTTTGTCTTTTTTGGTAGGTTTGTTTTGCATCTATGTAGCACATATGAGTGTACCTCAGTATTTTTAGCACATGTATAATCTATGTAGGAATGTTTTGCTTTTTAAAGTCATTTTTACTTTTTGCTACTATAATAAAATTCAAATGAACATCTTTATTCATGTCTTTGCCTGTTGTTATCATAGTAAGGATTGGTAAGTTATACACTAAGATTATCAATATCTCAGCCATACATGGTTGTATAGGCCTATAATTTGAGCAACTTGGGAGGATTGTGGTTCAAGGCAGCCCATGAAAAATTGTTTAAAAAGACCCCCATCTCAACCAACAATCCAGTTACTGGGAGGCAGAGGTAGGTCCTGTTCTGGCCTGATAAATTACTGAAGCAAAAAAGGTTTGGCTGAATTAGAGTGCATGCCTAGCAAGCATGAGGCCCTGAGTTCAAGCTTCAGTACCAAAAAATCCATAATTTTTTTAATATCTTGATATTAAATGTGACCCTTAGCAAAAACTTCGGGGAAGGTTTAAAATCTGAAATAGTCAATGATTAGGATGATCATGATACTAAAAAATGGCTGAGAAGGCTGATATTGGCAAAATTATATGGTCAAGGTCAGTGTATCATTTGTGCTTTTGTGTTCAGATAAAGGGACAATCATGCTTTATATGGTAGAAAACTATATGATAAACTGGGTGCTGGTGGCTCATGCCTGTAATCCTAGCTACTCAGGAGGCTGAGATCTGAGGATCACAGTTCAAAGCTAGCCCAAGCAGGAAAGTCTGTGAGACTGTTATCTCCCATAAACCACCAGAAAACCGGAAGTAGTGCTGTGGCTCAAGTGGTAGAGTGTTAGCCTTGAGGTGAAGAACTGAGGGACAGTGCTCAGGCCCAGAGTTCAAACCCCATGACTGGCCTCAAAAGAGAAAAAAAAGTTATAGTGTACCTTTCTTTTCTTTTCTTTCCTTTTCTGATCCTCCCCTCCCCTCCCCTCCCCTCCTCTCCCCTCCTTCCCTCCTCTCTTCTCTTCTTTATAGGTCATGGGGCTTAGATTCTGGGCCTGGGCACTGTCCCTCAGCTTTTCAGCTCAAGGCTGGTGCTCTACCACTTGAGCCACAGTGTCACTTATGGTTTTCTGAGTGGTTTATTGGAGATAAGAATCTCATGGACTATTCCTGCCTGGGCTGGCTTTGAACTGTGGTCCAAAGATTTCAACCTCCTGAGTAGCTAGGATTACAGTTGTGAGCCACTGGTGCCAGGCTGCTGCTGCTTTTTTTTTTTTTTTTTATTTAGCCTTTTCCCCCTAGAAATTGGTAAAAAATTATTCATCAAAGTCTGCATTTTATAGTTAGTATTTATGTAATGCAGTTTTATTTTTTGTAATCATGTACAAGATTCACACCAAACAATATTCTAAGTGAACACTATATAAAATGACTATGATACACTTTATGTTTTGATGCTTATAAATCTTCACTTAAATTATGTTAGCTGTACTTAATATTTTATTCTGGTTCTTAGTGTTCAAATATTTTTGTAGATTGAAAATGTTAATCTTTTAATATTTATTTCCAGACCCAAACCTTTACTCTTCAAAGGAGATCACAGATACCCCTCATCTAATCTTGAGAGCCCTATAGTGATTTTCTACTCTGAGATTGGCCATGGAGAATTTTCTAATTACCATCAACAACTTATATCAAAAAGCAATGAAGGCAAAATTAATTATGTCTTCAGACATTATATATCTGTAAGTACTGACTTATTTTGACACTGTTTAGAATATTAATTTATACAGCACAATCTTAGTACATAAACTATAATTTCCCTTTTTGCTAATTTTTTTTTTTTTTTGTCAGTCATGGGGCCTGAACTCTGGGCCTGGGTGCTGTCCCTCAGCTCTTCAGCTCAAGGCTAGCGCTCTACCACTTGAACCACAGCACCACTTCTGGCTTTTTCTGCTTATGTGGTGCTGTGGAATTGAACCCAGGGCCTCATGCATGCGAGGCAAACACTCACCACTGAGCCACCTTCCCAACCCATTTACTAAGTAATTTTAATTATTTGAACTGCTTTTGTGAGAAATCTAGTACTTCTCATCAGATCTTTCTTTCTTTTTTTTTTTCTTTTTTTTTTGGTTGGTCGTGGGGCTTGAACTCTGGGCTTGGGTGCTGTCCCTACGCTCTTCAGCTCAAGGCGAGCACTCTACCTCTTGAGCCACAGTGCCACTTCCAGTTTTCTAGTGGTTTATTGGAGATAAGAGTCTCGAGGACTCTACCTCTTGAGCCACAGTGCCACTTCCAGTTTTCTAGTTGTTTATTGGAGATAAGAGTCTCATGGACTTTCCTGCCTAGATTGTCCTCAAACTATGATCCTCAGATCTCAGCCTCCTGAGTAGCTAGGATTATAAGGGTGAGCCACTGGTGCCTGGCTAGCAGTGAGTCTCTTATTGCTGCTAAACTACAAAAAACCAAAAAGCAGCAGGGTGCAGTTGGCTCATGTCTTTAATCCTGCTGCATAGAAAGTTGTGATCTGAGGACTGCAGTTCAAAGTCATCCTAGGCAGAAAAGACCCCATGAGACTCTTATCTCCTATTAACCACTTAAAAACCAGAAGTGGAGCCAAGGCTCAAAGTGGTAGAGCTCTACCCTTGAGCAAAAGAGCTCAGGGATAGTACGCAGGTCCCAGGACTGGCAAAAAAAAATCAACCAAATTAAAAAATAAAAAGTTTGTGTGGCACAATAAATTTAGTAAATACTGAGTGGAAAGTACAATAAAAATTTTAAATGATAATTTGATTGAGCAGAAACAGGTTCATCAAAGTCAGAGTCTTACAACTCCTACTCCTCCTATGTCCGCCAGGCCTGTTGTTGGATTAAAACATGTAACAGAGCCGGGCGCTGGTGGCTCACGCCTGTAATCCTAGCTACTCAGGAGGCTGAGATCTGAGGATCGTGGTTCAAAGCCAGCCCGGGCAGGAGAGACCCTGAGACTCCTATCTCCAATAAACCACCAGAAAATCGGAAGTGGCGCTGTAGCTCAAGTGGTAGAGCGCTCGCCTTGAGCTGAAGAGCTGAGGGACAGCGCCCAGGCCCAGAGTTCAAGCCCCACGACCGACCAAAAAAAATAAAACACGTAACAGGCTGTTGTCAGCCAGCATGGTGATGGCCATGTCAAGGCCTTCTTGAAGCTTTGTAGTTAAAGTACAGGTGCTCACTTGGTCCCAAGAAAGCACTTTATGGTCTGACACCTCACCACTTTTCAACCCTGCTCTTTAGGTTTTAGAAATTATTTTCCTTGCCGGGTGCTGGTGGCTCATGCCTGTAATCCTATCTACTCAGAAGGCTGAGATCTGAAGATTGAGGTTCAAAGCCAGTCCAGTCAGGAATGTCCATGAGACTCTTGTCTCCAGTTAACCACCAGAAAACTGGAAGTGTTGCTGTGGTCCAAGTGGTAGAGCACTAACCTTGAGCTGAAGAGCTCAGGGACAGCACCCAGGCCCAGAGTTCAAGACCTATAACCAACCTCATCCACTCACTACTCCCCCCCCAAATTATTTTTCTTCATTTCCTCATGTGGCTTGGAAACTTTGCCCTTTCAGCCTTCCATTTTTACTGATTCCTGATGTCAACTGTAGTGAAAAACTAGAATTTTTAGAGAGAGTAAACTTTGAGTTGAATTTTTTTAATTAATGAATTTTAATAGTAGGTAGCAAATAATTTAATTTCTTTTGATAGTGAACTATCTTGAACACAAGGAGATAAAGATATTTTGAGTGTACAATACTTGGTGATGGCTGCTATATGTAATGGTCAGGTTGTATTGAATGCCCTGTTACTTACATTGAGTCCTCTATAACTCAACTTATTATATAATACTTGCTATATTTGCAGAATCCCAAGAAGGAACCAGTTTACCTCTCTGGCTATGGTGTGGAACTGGCCATTAAGAGCACCGAATACAAGGCCAAGGATGATACTCAGGTGAAAGGTGAATTTGTAAAAATAAGATGAATGTGTTTTCTTTAAATATGAGTTAACATGTAATCTGTTTCCATGACGAAAAAGAAAATATTTAGGTATATGATGAACCAATCTTTGAATCCTGGTTCTGTTATGTTTAGGTGAGAAATTTTCAACAAACTTGCTAGGTCTAAATTTACTCTTTGTAAAATTCAGGTAATGATATATTGGTAATGATAAATTCTCTAAGTATTTGGGAGAAGATATATAAGAATTTACCTGGGTATAGTGGCGCATGCCTGTTATCTTACTACTTTGGAAGAAGAGACAAGAAGATCACGAGTTGAAGGCATAATGAAAATGTGTTTGTGACTTTAACTATCACTATTCCACAGTACTGTGAAATATGCGAAATTTATGTAATCACTTAATCTCAATAAATAAAAACAAAATAAATAGCATCAACAGCAAAAAAAGCAAAAGAATTTAGAACTGTTGCCAGGCAATAGTTCTCGCTCTCATGCCTGTAATCCTATCTACTTGGGAGGTGGGAAATGGGAAAATTGAAGCTGGAGGACAGCTCAGGCAGATGAGTTCATGAAGTGGTATATGTCTGTCTTCCAAAAACACATGGGAGGCTGATAATGGGAAGATCTATGTTCCAAGATGCCCATACAGAGAAGTCTCAAGACATTTGCCCATCATCTCTACAATGATGAGATGCCTAGAATAGCAGCAGACCCTGGTAAAGCTGTGCATCCACACAGGAAGAGAGACCCTATCTTAAAAAATAAATAGAAAAAGATATAAGGCTGGAGTTGTGGCTCAGTATAGAGTACCTGCTCTGCAAGCACAAGGTCCTAAGTTCAAACCCTACTTTTACCAAAACAAATTTATTATTGTTTATTTCACAAAAACATTTAGTAAGTAGTATTGTTGTTATTATATGGGTTGCCAATAGACCAATGATATTTGTGCTTCTAATGTGAAAAATCTTATCTTATAAAGAGCAGTTTCATATCCTGCATTAGTTGTAATATTGTAGGGGTTTGAATTCATTATTTTAACCACAAGTATATGCTGTCTCCCTTCCTTCTTTCCTTCCTTCCTTCCTTCCTTCCTTCCTTCCTTCCTTCCTTCCTTCCTTCCTTCCTTCC